TGCCACACCAGACAAACGAAACCATTCGACGTCAATGAACATATTGAGCCACTGCTTCCAACACGTCTCTTATTCCTTTATTCTCCTTCTTTTCGTTAAAAGAAGATGTAAGATATACAACCACTGAACTTTGCTGTGCGGTTTGTCAGCTGCAGAACTGAAGTGCGAAAAAATATGAAAACGGTGAATTGTACAGTCCAATCTGGCTAAAGTAACTGAGGATATCAACTGGGTAAAAACCAGTAGGTTGCTTACAGCCCTCTTCGGCAACAGATCATATGAGACTAAGAACAAGGCAAACTGAGGGCCAAACCAAATGGTATCGAAAGCATAATGCGGAGCTGCTTGAGAAAGTTGATTTTGGAGCTGACTTTGGAAGGTAGAGCATGACAGGTCCTTTGTATTCTCAGACCTGAAGACCTTTGGGATTATAATTAGAGCTCTAACTTTCACAACGTCAAGCCGATTCTTCCGTGGTGAAGTCACGTGCGCCCCTTCTACTGCATGAATATATTCAAACATTTATGCGGTTTGTAAGTAATACGGCTGCGCATCAGCCTACTGCGCAGCGGAACAATCGTGTGGAACAGAGCCGTGCGATTATGCCCCCACGTCGGAATCCCGTCCGATTTCATCATGTGCCGGAGAAAGGTCAAATAAGGACACAGAATGTTCACACCCACTCCATGGCCAAGGCATCCCGTACACAAGCGCACAGACGGCCATCTACGCTCAACCGAGAACCAGTGTGGGTGTGTGGGGGACACACTGGTTGGTGGACAGCGGATCAACCGTCAAATACGGTGACAAGTGAATCATATATATAGAAGTTTCTAATTGCGTTAATACACAGTCCCTTCAGGTCGTCTTCTTGTCTTCTGTCTATAACCCAGTAGCGTCAGGGCAGGTGAAGAGATACAACAGTAAGAATATTTAATGTGCAACTCCAGGGTAGATACTAGTGGCACACCATAAGGACAAGGAAGCTGATCTACATGCAACACTGAAATCAAAGATTGAATATCACACGAAGAAAAGCTGTGATCAAACAAGCCAAGGTCTCATCTGTAAGACAAATTTATTGATACCCAGATTCAAAAAGGTCCACTGTTAATCAGTCGGACCTCAAAACTAGTATGTCATGAGGAAAGACAGAGTAATTGTAGTCGGACAGCATCAACAGTGGTTCTTGGATGATTCAAGTAAACGGATGATATAAGAATGGTAAAAACAAAAGAATGAGGAGGATGAAACTGATTGACTGGGTGAACTTCCTCTTGTGGATGCACAAAGTGTGTCTTGACGTTACTTGACAAACCTGAACCACAGGGAGATGTTTCTAACAAACCCATTCAAGGAGAATAAGGTATCTACATCTAGTTATTGACCCGTTGTGGTTCAAAAAGAAATCGCCGTTGGGCAACTGATATTCTTTATACCAACAGCGTTCCTTCTGAGTCTTACCTGGGAAGTGCGTATACTCTAAATACCAAATCCATATCTTCTAATTGCCCACATTACTACGATGATTGGCTTATTTTCACCTGCATAGGAGATGCAAATTAGCATCACCGTGAGCTCCATCATCCCATTATCTCCGAAATTCGCGGTTGGCGGTCAACTGCATTAGCTGAAATTTACGACCTCAAAACGGTTGTGCAAAGGAGGTTTCCATGCTCTATAATGAATGCATAGGGTTAAAGGTGAAGTTCAATTTGACAACGGGTAATCGATATGCGAAAGGAAATACAGTATCATCCGTCAGGAATCATTACTCAGAGATTACCTCATTTCAGCCTCCTCAACGCTTGACCTTCGGTTTCGAAGTGCACATTGTGGGCTGGTGGTTCTGTCATTAGTACTACTACTATTAGAAGCAATAGTAGTATTACCACCGTCAACCAGTTTTGATATGGATTCAGTAGACTCTACATATGAGCCAGATGCGCCTGCATTTTGTTCGTGACTGGTGCTGTTGGAAACCTAATTGATCACAAAGAACCTCTACTTAAATGCTACTATGATGGTACCGTGGTTACTGCCGAACAGAAGATCGGATTGGGAGGCTTTCGCTTAAGTCCTCTATGGGATTGCGAATCACCACGGGGACTTTACCAAACAGTTGTCTTGTGTTATGGGCCATATTCGATCCGCACTATAGGCATTATAGAAAGCGAGAAAAGGACAAACTTTTGTGCTACTTGATTGCAGTTAGTAATAAAAAATAATGCCTGGTTTGTTATCACAAAAATACACAGATGTTTGGAGCTAATTCTGGGGACAGCCAAGGATATGACACTCCTGATGAACAGTAGAAAGATCGCTTCTGTGTGAAGCAAGCATATTCTTTGCGCCGGGATAGAGAAAGACTTTCAAGTGAAAATATTGTGGTCGGACCTTCTGAGAAGACAAGGAAATCGATGCTTTAATCTAGCACACAGTGAGTTCTGTAGGTATTTTGGTGAAATTAACGATGATAAACTTCTGAACACACACTTACCATGTCCACAGAAGGTTTGTTTTCATCTCAGTCATTCGGACACAGATCAGTTCAAATGAACATAGCAGCCCCCAACTGCGTACAGTGGGAGCAAAATTAAATGAGAACGTCCCGTTGGATGATTAACGAATTACAGGAAGGTTTTCGACACAACGTTGGCTGCTGTGCATGCATACCACAGAAAGGGCCGTACAGCTTATCTCAATGCCTCACTCACTTTCTGGTTGGCTAAAAATAATGATCTAGCACTGAGATTATTGATCAGACGAACTAAACACAAAGAACACTAATTTGTTTGTTCTGCATTTCCAGTGACTAGTATTTCATTCTGTCATCATCATCAACATCATCAGCAGCATCATCATAGACAGCATGACACCAGTGTTCAACGTTCTCTCAGATTAAAAATATAAGGGATTTTACAGCAAATGGCGCAGTGAAATCTGCGTATAAAACCACAGCAACATCAAATGAATAGATTTGGTTTTGAAGCAAAACAGCCAGTATAGCATAAACCACAAATTATTTTTGGAATTAGCTCAACGTAACGCGTGATTATCTTTTCCATGCCTGGTGGGGGCCGCATTGTACTCTCCGTAAAGGTGAGTTCCAATCAATGGACTGTTGGAATATCCTATCCTACTCAACATGAACAGGTCACCCCAACTTTGTGCCTAACCGACCTACGTCACCTATGATTCAATGTCGAGCGAAAGGTGAAGACTACTCGACAAGAAGGGGTTCAGCAGGCACGGAACATACTTTTATGATGAGATTCCATCCACTTCCATAGAACTACTCCTTCCAAAAGAACCGCACTAAAATCTGTTGATCCGCAGGATGCAGAACAGGGCGAATGAAAGAACCCCAGTTGCCTGACAGGTTGAAATTTTTATTAGCAAAACTGCATGACAGAAGACAGAATAACGCGATCGGCTAGTAGAGCAGGTCGAATAATTTTCAGAAAAAGTAGAGGACAGATAAAGGCGTTGTTGTAAAACCAGTTACGCAAATTGCGAAGATTTTCTCCATATAACTTATCCTGACTTGAGATCCCATCTTCTGAAGAAATTTCATGAACAAAAGCCACCTGAATGGACGTTATCGTAAGTCACATGAAATCGTTAGTAGGAAATTATTCTGGTGAACTGATTTCGTTACCCGGAATGGCCTGATAATCGTCAGTAAGCAGGTCTCAAATCATGAAACATCAATTTTTTATCGCAAGATTTTCCAAGTAAATGAAACAAGAATCATCTTACTCACGTTGCACCAAATTCGAGGTATCCGCTACGTGAAAGCCGTCGTCAAATGCTTCTTTTTTGACGCTTCTTTTTTTCACGTTTTCTTCCTCGTTTTAGATCAGATTTTTTTTCTGGTCTTGGATGGATGCTGATACGAAAAATTTGGCTCGAGGTGCGCGAAAACTGGCCAGATATATTCTGGGATGATTACCTGAGACAACCAGAAGTGCGAAAAGACCGTGCGTGTCTTCGACCCGAGGTGGGACGTACAAAGACCTTCGGTCGTTTTGGTGTATCCAAAGGCCAATATTTTGCCAAATACTTAGAGTCAATGCATCTCAACCAAAACAGTTTTGGGTTTACAAAGCAAGATCTTTCATACTTGCTTGAGCCGTCTTACACAGGGAGTTGGCTCCACACTGTCTACAAGGAAGCATTCGAAATCAGCCCATCTAAACTCTATACCAAACAATTTCCAGCGGAGAACAAATTAAAGCCATTGCGAATCACATATGAAAGCGACGAGGAATTCGTAGGCATTGCATCTCGGCTGACTCTGATGACAGACTCTCGTTCCGGTGTCATGCGGAATGCCTTCCGCGGTGTTGTGCCAATATACTGGGGTGATCGTCGAATATATATCGCACCACCCACTAACTGGAAAGGTTACGACTGGAGTCAAAGCTGGACAAAACGGAAATTCAATTTTCCCACTGTAAACTAAGTCTATTTTCTAATCAAATCTGTGTTTCGTGTCACCCTTATTTGCAATTGTTGTCACCTAGTTGACCTTACAGGTTCGTAGGCCTTGTTATTTTGTTATTTTGATCATTGTTGTCTTATCAATTGCGTGCTGTCTAGAGACAATACCTCACTATCCCTGCTCCCATTCGACTGAGAATTAAAACTGGCATCATTCAAGGCAGCTGCTCACTGAATTTGAGACGGGGTTCTAAAAGAATCAGGGTGTGTTCTGGGATTTTAAAACATCATCAAGGTTATTTTCTTGATTTATTCAGCAACTGTCACTAAGCTGCATTCGGTGGGCAATGCGTTCGTCGGTTTACGCACTGATGCCCATAGGTGGCAAATGAAGTGTTCCTAATAATGAGCTTTTCTAATTGATGACCCATTCTCTTCACATGCACAATTCAACGATGAGCGGAACTCCAATTTAAGACAGCCGGTGAGTCTTCGATATCGTGGCGGGCAGAGAGATTACCACATCATGTCAACAAGTGTTGTCACGTGATCGGAATCCCACGATTGAAGAGCGTTTAAGTGCGAAAAAATCATCCTTTTGATTAGCCGATCATGATTGAACAGTAAGGTGGTAGTGGATTTGAGGCCTCATGGAGTTTCGTGAGATGCGCACTGCTGACAATTCCCAATATGGATGAACCACCTGTACAGCGCTTCTCGGCTCTTCGACACAGAGTGCCTTCGATTTCAAGACGAAATTTCCACAAAGATACCAAATTTTCTCGGATTACCAACTTTTACAGTTTGTCACTGCTGTGCTATGAAAATCCGGGCGAGGCATTTAAACCGGCAAGTTTCATGGGGAAAGCGCCTGTGATGCTGTGCATGCAGTAGTCCCTGGAAATCGCCTGTTACGTTGCTTGCTCCGAGACCACTAATATGCCAGTTAGACTACTCTGTGAGCTGGTTTTCATTAGTCAGCCAGTCTGATTATTTTATTTCCAATTGCATGAAAACAACCCACTGAGCAGTCACCCCTTGGAAAAATTCCTTCAGAAAATCATGTTCATCTGCGGTTTCGGCCAAAATTCTGTTTCCGGATAGGACTGCTGCTGGAGGGAAATGCGTCGATATCCCAAAAAATTGCTCAACTGGACGTAGAAATGGTTATTCAACTCCAGCTTTAGTCATAGAAGACCAACTATGGATCCAGTATGCTAGTCCGCGGGAAAATTTACCTTTTTTTGTCTGGTTGAATCACTGTTTGATTTAGCTTCGCAGTGCGCCGGCTGACTTCAGTGCACCGAGGATGGCGATAGTTACGCCCCCGGTGCTGTTACATTCGACAGGAATGTTTTGTTCCCGTCTACATAGCAGAATCCCAAGATATATGAAGTCAGCCTGATTATGAATGGTCGGATTGAAAAACAAACTTACCGAGCAGTGAGTTTGTTGTGAGAGCTAGTTCCTCAATGAACCTACCACATATTTCTCAAGCCCATGTACACAACTGAAATAGACTACCAGAGTTATGGCAGGTATCACCGATGGAACGTTCGAATAATAGCTGATTAAAGTACTTCAAGGCGCCGTCCAAGCGTTTGATAGGAATTTGAGTTGGAGATTATCAAAACGTTTTACAGTGTTTGTTCACTACTGTTAGCTAGTAAAATGGCGTCCAGGCAAGCTCAGGGTTATTGAAGATGTTCACTTTCTCCAAAACTCGATGCAAGCAGAGTATTGGATTTCTTATCAGCAAGTTTGTAACCGCTTTATTCGTGTAACTACTTTTCAGTTGAAGTCGCTTTGATTTCACTGGCAGTTCAAACAGAACGGGGTGTGGATAGATTTGGTCTGCTTAAGTTTGTATGACTAAGTAATGGCTGTCGATACGGATCACCGATTACCTTGTGATCGAAGTCTATTTCAGCCTTCCGATGCTCAGTGATATTTACATAGCTGATTTCGTATCTGCCGTAGAACTTGGAAGCATTCTGGCCCTCGTACAAATATGTCTGGACTGGGGCATTACAGGGGCTTATACCGAACACATAATTTTGATTCATTGTGACAGATTTTACCTTTCTCATCTTGATCCTAACAGTTCGGTGTGATGAATTCGATGTTAATGTACATGAAGGACATCCACTCATACAAGTGCAGCCTCGGTAAGCACCCTCTTGTAATTTAGTTTTTTTTTAAAAGTGCCTACTGGCTTTAAATGGCTTCTCATTGTACCTTTTAGGGCGAACTTACGAGAGAAATGATGCGGCCCTTATCTTAAGTGTTATGAAACACTCCATTGTGCAATTCTTGTGTTCAGTTTCTTAATTTACCAAATGCGATAGTATAGAAAAAAAATCGTAAGTACCGATTGCATAAATGTCAGCTATGTTGGCAAAAGTTTATGCGTTCCATCATTTAGTATGAAACTCAATTCCCAACAACGACAGGTCTCTGTTGGGAGGTTTTCGCTAGCAGTTCATTCCTGGATTTTAGCATGATTTAAGTCCTGAGTCACTGAACACCGTATTTACAGAGACTGTGGTCCTAATTATTAGTTTCCGCTAGCTGAATAGAGTGACTGAACTCGTCCATTTTCGGATCAGAATGATGCATCACAAATAAATTTCATGCATTTGGTACATTTACTTTATTAATTTCAAATTAGTCGAGAATTCAGAGCGAAGTCACGCTTCGAAATTTGACAAGAGGGAAGTTACCCCGATAGACATCGTCGTGTAAATGTGATTACTTGATGCAGCAGCGTAAAGATCGCATTCAGATGCTTACGTGATTCAAACCAGCATAGATCTGTGAACGAACTGTGGTTGAAAAGCCGAAGTGAATTAACCTCAAGGCTGGCGAGCTCATTCCGGTTTCTGTTTTATTTACCATTCTCATATTACACATCTGCTGTCTGATCGTCAGTGAGCCATAAAATATCAGTAAAGTCGTTTGTATTTTTCCCGGCTCTAACTTCATTTGCTCTTCATCCGTCTTCTACTCAGCTGCCTGATATAGTTTTGAACTTTGTATGATTTTTTTCTAATCACTTTACAGAACTATCATACAGTGAACAGCTCTGGTTTGTTAGACTTTTAACGATGTTTCACGCGTTGACAGAATACACTACTGATGAGTTTGCGGAAGACTCTTCGAGAGACCACGACCAATTTTGTCCTTCTTGTTCAACATCAGATAACAGCACTCTGCGAGTTTCAGTCAAAGATACGTTCCAATTAAGAACCAGATTTCGCTTAACTGGAGAAATACAGTAATTCGTAAACTAAGCTGCTGGCATTGGGAGAATCCACCGAACCCGAGCTGCATCTATGGTGTTTTAGCTAGCACGATATTCGAGAACACACTGCGCATACGTTTGCTAAAATCTCTTCAACAGCCAATGACCGATTTTGCCGATCTGAAATATGATGCATCCTCGGTGCAGCAGACGCAAGTGAAGAACACATTTAACGAGGGATTCAGTCAAGCTTACCGGCAACATCTACTTTGCTTTATTCCACCTGTTTACAAGCTTAGGACACTTGTTGTTGCAATAATTATTTGCCGTATCTGTCAATAATCAGGTCCACAGCAAAAAGTAGAAGGTCGTGAAAAGGACGACGATACGTTTGGTTGTTGTTGGTGCCACCCGCCATGAAGTATGATGTCCCCTTGACCCTTCCTGTGCTTGTCTGGAGACGGTGTAAGAAACGATGTCACTCCCGTCAGTGTGCCACTTACTGAAAGATTGGAGATGTGGGCAACCCAGAATTCTTGAGATAGGTCAGAATGGAGGTACTCGCTCACCCACTCTTTTCTCTCCCTTTTAATTTAAGGCTTTAAATATAATGAAACTACATTTATGTTTGAACGCCAGTGAAGTATGAGTACCGACACTGGTGTTGCTGACTCTGCTGATAAATGAAGACGGTGAGACAAACCAGTAGATGCCATTTGAGTGCGCTTGGCTTTTTCACGACAGTGATGTCTCTTCACGGTCGTATGTACATGATAACCCGTCCTTAGCTGACTCAAATCCACTTGCAGGTGTATGAATTGCCCCTCTGAACTATGCTCCCATTTCTGTTAGTTCATACTTCAGCCAACGCTTCTCGCACACTGTAGAGGATACCCGTTTTCCGGTGATGTAATAACTCGTTTGTCCACCATACAACTTAGCACACGCGGCGCCGAAAATTCGACCATATCTGTAGGACAGTCGTACTCAAGCTTATTCTATCCGCGCAAGAGCTGCCGGTCGGTAATCGGCTACCAAAGAAGTAGACATGACCGCACATACAAAACAGTTAGAATATGATGTGTGAGATTGAAAACTAGGACAGTTTATGCCAATTGCTAGTTGCCTTTGAGAATGCAACCCCAATGGGCCAAAACAATCAGTGACTGGGGTGGCTTCGGTTTAACAAACTGACCGCAGCGCAAACCTTATCCAGTAGGCCACAGTTACAGCTGAGGTAGATACCTAATAATTGAATGTGTAGCCAGTTACCAAGTGGACAGCGATGCACTACCCTAAGATGTTTACGCTGAATCGTTACTTGTTCAGTACTTTTGCAGGATTGTTGGGTGCATTGGTGATGATAAAATAAATATTGATCTGGACGATCGATTTCAGATTTCACTGGTCTATCTCTCACAGTCGCAATGCAAGAAAACTCTGCCGCAGCCAAAAAACCATTGCAATTAGGTAGATGGCTGTTTGGGGTTAAAAGTCGCTAACTCTCTTTCTGACAGTAGGTCTTTCTGCAGTGTAAAATTATGGATAGTCACACAGATGAAAGGATTTTCCCGCCTACCTGTCAGTAAATACTCGTCAAAAGCAATGGGCATCTCACCAAAGAGGAAAAGGATGAAAATATCCAGCTTCGATAGATTTCGGATTTGAGCTATCCTTGTTTTCTAATTGTGAGCCCACTGTCCTAAGACTACACGTCACTTACTGATTTTATGCTATACACACTGCTAACGAAATTATCTGTAAAATGTTCAGCACCTCAGGTGCGAATTCAAAAAGTATGTGATGGAAATGTCTAATTTGGCACGTATCCCATACAAGCGCTTTCTGTGCCACATCGACAATGCTTCCCGTAAGTTTGCCAGTCTGGACCAAGCTGAACACAGGTCGAGTGCCGAAGTAACCTCTGGTTATGACTAGAGGTTAGTTAATCACACCAGCC